AAAGAAAGAAAGAAAGAAAGAAAGAAAGAAAGAAAGAAAGAAAGAAAGAGAGAAATTTTTCTCAGGAACATTTAACACTGAGCACAGACAGCAGTTGCATATGTCACGGCCTGACATATACAAGGAGACAAGGGATCTCTAGTTCCCCAAACTCCAAAACACAAAATATATGTCCAGAAATGACAGTCTTGGCTCTTCACAAGCTGGACTATGGAACAATTGCTAAAAGCCTACAACCCTGTATTTTTCAAGAAGATGAAAAGTGGGTATCTGCCTGCCAGGAAGGGACAGGTTCCTTATCATTTAACTGTAGTTGCATATCAAAGCCCACTCTGGCCCCCAGGTTCCTTTAGCTCCTATTCATATACTTGTTATACAAAGTGCCTGCAGGCTGCTGACCCTTCTCCTCCCCACTCCTCCTTGACTCCCTCAGCTCCCACACAGCTATAGTTCAAGGCTTTTCCTCCTGGTAGACACTCATTAGGTCTCTACATAACAGCACCTTCCTGCAAGCCCTGCACTCCCCCCCCCCCCACACTATTCTTCCTTTATTCAGATTGCCCTGGCCATGGCCTGTCTGCCTTTTTACCTCCCTGCTCTAGACTCTTTCAGATGTCCCTGTTCTGTCTCTCCCTCTCTCCTCTCTAATGAAAACTTTCCACCCAATCATGGGATGGCCATTTCAGTGTTTTCTTTATTGCCCAGTCACTTACAGTATGGAACTAAAAATTTAAGAAAATGAAGTAGCTAATGGTTAAAACAAAAGCTGTTGTGGGAGTAACTTCGTCCCCTAAAGTTTATACAGTGAATTTCTGATCCCTGGCAATACAATATGAGAATCTATTCAGAGACAGAGCTTTAAAGAGACAAAAAAAGCAAGCTGGGATCTTAGGGTTAGTGGAATCTAGTCTCACTCATGCCTTGTAAGTTGAAATTTGAAACTACAAGAAATACTATAGATACCTGAAGAGGAACCAATGGTGACATCACCTACAAACCACAAACAGAGGGGCAAAGAGAAGGCTAGCAACTGGCAATTTGTTTAATTTTAGTGTTTTAAATTTTAAAATATATTGTATTTCTCTTATTTATTAAAAAAATATGGTGAAATAGAAATAGCTCAACAGTTAAGAGCACTTGCTGTTCTTTTAAAGAGCCGGAGTTCTGTACCCAGCACTCACTAAAGTGACTCTCAGCTGCCTGTAACTCTAGCTCTGGTATCTAGCAGTGCTCTGGCCTCTAGCCATCTGTGTTCACATGTACACACTCCCTCTCATAACAGACATAATCAAAGATAAAGTAATATTTTTATAAATGGTGACAAAATGTGCATTAGTATAACAACAACTTTTTTTTCTCTTTCCCCACCTATTGTCCCACATTTCCCCTTTACTTGATATTTTTTAGAAGACCAGACTTTCTCATGCCAGGACCAGTCATTATCTACTAAAGAATCTCTCTTTTTTTGCCTTAAAGGAGACTGTATACCTTTTTGCTCTTTCTCTAAATGGGGTCTGGTACTGTCTTCTTAGCCAGATACAAACCATTTAAAAATTCTCTTGAGATCAATGAAATAAATGGAGAATCCACCTCTTTCTGTCCTGCTATTTATATTGCAACAAGGAGCCAAAAGATGAACTCTCATTACTACACAGACTGAGACAGCGAACAGAATGGCTATTAATGAGCCAGTCCTAAAACTCAAGATGCACTGTTAGTATTATCCACACGAAATTAACCTTGGGATAAACATCCTAGATAGCACATGAAAAAAACAGAATAGAACCAACAGAAAAAGGCCTTGGGGACATCTCCCAGGCAAAAAATATGGAATAAGCAAGGAGGAAACACTAGCTTCTAATGATATCTGCTGTCAAGTCTCACTAAATTAATTCTTATCCTTTGGCCAATTTCCATCTGAGATAATTTCTGAAGACATCATTGAGGGAATAGAGAGGGAACAAGGCCGGAAGAGCTTTTCTTTCATTTGCATTGATACTTACATCATTCCAGAGATGGAACACCCTTTTAAAATTCCTTTGCATTTTGAAAGTGTTATACCTACATCCCTTACTATTAAACGGTAGCCCAGAACAATTCACAACCAGGGCAAGTACAGGGGATACCCTCTCTTCTTGATATGTATATAATGACTGTAAACCTCTTAGCTTCCTGTGTGAAAAATATTCTATACATTGTCTAAATGAATGTGGCGATAGATTGGGACATGTTTCCATTACAATCCATGTGAAAAAGTCGGTCATGCCAATTCATGCCTTTAATTCCAGCAGTGTACCAATAGAGAGTTGGAGCTGGGGTGGTTTGGGGCAGGATTTGTGAGGCTTGCCATCCATCTAGTTTATCTGAATCAGTGAGATATAGGTATAATAAGAGACCTTGTCTAAAATAATGTGGTCAAGAGAAATTGAGGAATATACCTGCTACGAAGTTCTGGCTTTTATGTGCATATGT